TTAAAAAAAAAAAAATTTAAAAAAAAAAAAAATATATATATATATATATATATATATATATAAAAATATATATATATAAAGACTCTTACCATTTTTTAAAATAAAACAACTAGTCACTGAAGAAATATTGTCAATTTACATTTAGTCCCTAGGTTTAAACTTGACATAAGCAAAATATCCTACTCTGTTTGGGTGGAGGTGATGCTAGTTTTCAATTTCATTTTCAAATTATTGCTTTAAACAAGCACCGTCCCCTTGATAAAATCAGTTTTATTTGGTCACTGAAAATAACACTTAACTTTTTCTTTAACTTAGGAAATGTCCTGGTTCTCCCAGTAATATTATGAAATACTGGCTAAAGTTTTCATATTTTATTTTGGATTCTGTATCATCCTACAGGTGGTTATGAAACAGAATGCTGTCATAGAACACTTGAAACAGAAGAAGACACTGACTCCAGCTGAGAGGGAAGAAAATCAGAGGTGAATGTGCATCATGGTGCATCTTTAGATATGAAAGTTTTACATTTATAAGATCTTTTAATGGTGGTATGAGAAAACACTGGTTTGTAAAAACCTGCTTAGAGAAATTTTGCTATTTTAAAATTGCTTAAAGTAACTTCCATAGCAATGTTCTTAACTCTAATTGAATCCTGTATATGCTCAATTTTATTCTGATTATATGTTTTTTAAGTGAAATGTTATATTGCACGTGTTTGGAGCTGGCCACATTTTTTAAACTCAAGGTAAAAACCATCCTTAAAGGAGCACAGAATAGAGAACAAATGGTTCTGTTGCAAAAAGCCTGGGTTTTGTTTGTCCGTTATCATGGCAATTTCTTTCCATTCTTGTCCGCTGTACATTCAGCTCTCAGAAGGAATTGAAAAGTTGGAAGATAGTGCTGTTCAACAAAGTAGGAGATTTTATGCTTGAAGCTGCTAAACACAAATTTGGAGCATTTGTCATTTGTCTTAGTGTTATTTTGACTCCTTTTCACTTATGCAGTTGCTTCAATTGGATAATCACAAGTGCACATTGTCAGACAAAAATAATAGTGTTTTTTATAAAGCTTTGATCATCAAATGAGGGTACAAGCTTAGTTGATTACAACAGTATCATTAGGTGCTACTCGCTCAGTGTTCACAGTTGTATGAAGAATAAGTTGTATTGTCATATACTCTGCATTTAATGGTGTCAGACAGCCTGACTAGTATTTAGGCTGACAGAAGTCCACTTAAAAAAAGAGTCCTAACTAGCTTGGTTCATGGTACAGCTGTCTTTCTGTCTCACTGTTTGTTTTTTGTTTTTTTTTTTCTTCTCCAAGATGTAGTTTGGGTATCTTACCTGGTAAAAAAAAAAAAAACAAAACCAAACAAAACAAGTAGATATAGTGCAGGTAAAAAGAAACAAAATTGTATGGCCCTACAAAACAGCTAGCATATCACATGTGTCATCAAAATACAGATGTGTATCAAAAGACAATATGTCTGAGCCTGAGACTGCAGAGTTGGCAGCAGCTACTTGTCCCAGCCATTGCTATTTTGTTGTTTGCTTTCAGCTCGTCTGTCAATGGGAGCTCTTTTTCTTGGTCACTCTGTCAACAAGAAGCGTTTAGTTTTCTAGTGGGTTTGAGATAGAATGGGAAGGAAAAAGTAAATTCAGAAGAATCGAAATATGGGCAGCTCAGCGCAATGTACTTTTTCCTTATTTCTTCCCCAGAATGATTGTGTGTAACCAAGTGATGAAATATATTCTGGATAAGATAGACAAAGAAGAAAAACAGGCAGCTAAGAAACGAAAGCGAGAAGAGAGCGTAGAACAGAAGCGTAGTAAACAGAATGCTACTAAGCTCTCAGCTCTGCTTTTCAAGCATAAAGAACAGCTGAAAGCTGAAATATTGAAAAAAAGAGCACTTCTGGACAAAGATCTACAAATTGAAGTGCAGGTAAGGACAGTTATTCTCAAAGACTAATTTGATTTTAAGCTGAGGAGAACACTTATGTGTTAAATCTTTATTTGTTTGCTTGGTGAGATTTTAAGGAAACGTAGAGGGTGAAGTTTTGGTTGTGGATGTCTGAATCTCTGTGAAGCTGCTCTTCTTGTCCTCTTTATGCTTCTTGTTTTTAATCTGGACTGAAGTTACCTTGTTTCCTGAAACAGCTTCTGATAAATTACAGCCAGTGTGTCATAGTAGGTGAGGAGCATTGTCCCTCAGTGTTATGTGACTTGTAGGTTAAGCACATTAAAAAAATCGCATATTTAAATGGATTTAATTATTTTCTGTTGATTAAGCATGGGGACTTATGTCTAGATTTCAATCCTGTCCTGGAATAATCATATGAAGTGCCTCCCTCTCTATTTATTCATTTAATATACTTCAGGAGGAGCTAAAGAAAGACTTGACTAAAATTAAGAAAGAAAAAGAAAAAGCCCAGGCAGCTGCTGCTGCAGCAGCAGCCGCAGCTGCTGCAGCCGCAGCTGCAGCCGCTGCACCACCACCACCGCCACCACCACTGCCACCACCACCACCACAGCAGCATGCAGCCAGCGTCACCTCCTCCTCCTCCACCACAGTCCCAATGCCAGTATCCTCTCAGAAGAGAAAGCGAGATGAAGAGAAAGATTCGTCAGCTTCCAAGTCCAAGAAAAAGAAAATGATTTCTACTACCTCAAAGGAAACAAAGAAGGACACAAAGCTTTACTGCATCTGTAAAACGCCTTACGATGAGTCTAAGTGAGTAGTGAACACCATAGCCTTTTACTGTGTGTTCTTAGCTTTAGGTTTAGTGTTTAGCTGTTAGTGCAAGGTAGTTCTAGAGTTGGAGATAGAGGATCGGGTGTTATTGCAGTGATCATTAAGGTATAAAGGATAAAGTCTCTGTTTTCCACTAGCAGTTTCAAAACTATTAACATACTTGATTTATACTATTGAAGTGATTTATATTTTTACTTGTTTGCATGTTTCCATTGTATGACCTTTCTGTCTCACATGCACATACTCTTTTTTTCTTTTTTCCCCTCCGCTCTGTTGTTCTTTCTTTTGCCGTTTTGCCTCTGCCTCAGAAGCAAGTGACAATTTGGTTTGAGCAATTTCTTGTGAACGAGTAGCTGATGTTCTTTAGAAATAGCTTTGGTACCGTCTTCTAAAAAATGACTTCTTATTGTAAGTCAGTAGCCAGTAAAGAGGGTTCCAAGCTACTGGACTGCAGTTCACTTTGGACAATGTTTCAGGTAGAAATGGTTTCCATGTGTTAAAATTTTCATCCCAGGGTTGATAAAAAAATTAATATGTAAACATTTCACAAAGTGAAACCTGCAGTTCTGTGTCCTTTGAATCTGACTGTGAATGAGGAAAAATATTTACACTACGTACAAAGCTTGTGAAGAAATTTAGTAAGTGGTGGAGTGGAAGATTCAGTGGATTGCAGGGGGATAGGGTTATGCATTCCTGCTCAAGCTAGAAGTGACTAACATCAGTAATGGTTAGTATCTGATAGCTGTGTGGAGGTGCATGTAAAATAAATTTGACTTCAGACCAATTTCAAGTGAGTATGTATCAGCTCAACAAGTGACAATACCAAGAAGTATTAATTGCTGCCATTTGGCGGTGGTTTAAATGCTGATTAACAAAAAGAAACCGTAGGGGTGGAGGAGTGCTTTCACTCCAGTACCGGTGGTTCTTTCCAAATCTAGGGCCAAGGCTCTCTTGAGGTTCCTTCTAGCCTTTTTTGTTTTTTGATTTTCTTTTTTAAAATGAAGTTGTGGTCTTTGGGTTTTCTTCACCCTGGTTGTTCAGCAGCTCTGCCCATTGCAGCATTACATCAGTGTGGGAAATGGGACTGCTCTCAGTGCTGCTATTACTAATCGCAGACTTGTGATGCCCTGGTTGTTAATTCACTATTACTTCTAAGGCATGTCACCAGTCTCACTTAAAGAACGTTGTGTTAGGCTGTCATCCAGTAAATTTAGGATACCCTGTTCCCATTTTTTGTGATAATGAACAAATTATGTGAGCGAAAGAATTCAATTGTCAGACTAACTCTTTCTGTTGATGCTAGTGGGCATTTGAGTAAGCCGATGAAAAATGTGGTTATAGAGTGAATTTTGGTAGCCTGGGTTGAGAACTGTGCTTAAACGCACAGAATAAAACTTCAAGAAAATGAAATGGTAATAACTTAGTAGTATCCCTAGCAATATGATTCAGTTCTGCTGCTCCGCTTTTTGTGAATTCTAAATGTTATGTTCTTAAAATGATGACTGTACTGTTAAACTACTTTATCCTTTCAGTATTTGGAAAGGGATTAGTCAAGTTTTAGAACATTTTTCTGGTAAACTTTTTTTTATTATTTTCATATATATAAAGGCATCAGATACTCCTCTTTGTGCTGATGTCTCTTTTCTACTTTAGAAAAGATGGATGTGCTGCTTGAAAAGCTAATTTGTGGTATATTATGAATACCCTATGCATTTTTTAGGATACAGTAAATCCTCAAAAGTCGTTCTGTTGCATACTTTATTGCAAATCTCTTGCATTTAGTTCTCCTTTTGTGATACTCCAGGGTTATAGGGATTTGCTCATACTGTTTTTGAGGATGGTCAGTAAGGATATCTTTCTAAGATTCCTACTTAGATTACAACTTATTTGTTAAAGCATAATGTGATGCTTGTTCAACATTCTAGTGGCAAGGTTTTAGCATCTACACCTAGACTTAAATGTGCTTCCACGTCACCAGGAGCAGACGCAGTCCCTCTTGGGAAGGGAACACTGGCTGAATCATTGTTGATAGTTGTCAGGAGCTATATCAATCCATTCTTTGTGGAAGGTTGGCTTGTGTGGGTTTGGGGTTTTTTGTTAGGATTTGTCTGACTGAAAATTAGAGAAAAGGAAGGATCTGAGTATCCGGGGTGTGTGCAGAGGCCCAAGAAATTAGAGATGTTTGTTTTGTGGAACATGTGCTAGCTGCTGTCCCGTTGCTCGTGTGTAGTGTCCAGTGGGTGGTGCTTGCAGACTGACGAACTCGGGTGGCAGTAATTCATGCAGCAGCACATGGCAGGTGGTCTCTGAAATCTGGAAAGATCAAGGTTCTGAGTCAGCTTGCTTTTGCTTAGGCAGAGAGAATGGATGTGTAACTTCGCCCATCTGGTTGATTGTCACTAGTCATAGGTATGTTTTGAGATATCCATACACAAAATGTCAAACATCCTTGCATAATATTTTACAGTTTTGTCACGTCATTCTGTGCAAGGTCCCATTCACATGATTCTGTACCTGGTTCCCTTCACTTCGTGTCATACCATACCTGGTTCCGTCACATAGCTGTGTCTGAGAGTAGACGTTATTCTCTGAAGAATAGTCCACGTTCCAATTTGTTGCAATTTTGAGTAGTTTAATATCTGTTTTTCAGTGCGCTCCCACACACCCCCTAAAAAAAAAAAAAAAAAATTTACAACCATGTCCTGACCCCATTTTCTTTCATATCATGTTATACCAATATGTATTCTACACATGGCTGGTATGCATGTTCTTCGTAGTATACTTGTAACTCCTAGTTGGTGTTTGCGCTTTGCTTTTGTTTTTTAAATTAACTGAGACCTACATTTTCAAATCTTAAGGAAATGTTTCAGTGGCTTCTGAGCTACGGTTTTGAAAATGTAAATCTTTTTCTTTGGCCTTGTCTTTTTGTGCCTTTTACAGTTTTTCACACACACATTGGAGACATACATTTTTAGCCCAGTTTTGTCAAAAGTCTGGTTACCTATTGATGTGCATTTTAATGAACTGTCAATTTAAAATTGACCCAAGTGACCTTACTGACAGTATAGCTGCAGCATGAGATGTTAGTTTGTAAGGATAGAATGTTAGGAAGCAGGGAAACGGAGACAGAAAATTGAAGAAAGTAGGCCAGCAAGAAAGTGCGTCAGAGAGAAATGCAGGGAAAAGTGCCATGCCATTTGAAATGACAATTACATTGTCATTTTCATTGTGAATACTTTTAGGTTCTATATTGGCTGTGATCTTTGTACTAACTGGTATCATGGAGAATGTGTTGGCATCACAGAAAAGGAGGCTAAGAAAATGGATGTGTACATCTGTAATGATTGTAAACGGGCACAAGAGGGCAGCAGTGAGGAATTGTACTGTATCTGCAGAACACCTTATGATGAGTCACAGTGAGTTCTGATAAGAACCTCTTATTTAATGTTTAGGTAGCAAACTGCTCTGACTGTGGTTACCTGTTCCTTGCAAAGAAAAAAAAAAAAAAAAAGAAGTTATTCAGCATATGTTGTATTCATTTGTAATACAAATTGCTTTTCAGTAATTGTCTTCCTCTCCGAAATGTTTCTATACAGTAAATGTTTAGGAAAAGTGGAGTTTTCAGAGTGGTCAAAATGTGTTGGGTTTTGTTTTTAAAAAAACACCGTGTGCTTTAAATTGGGATTGTTTTTTGTTTGGTTGGTTGTTTTTTTTTTATTTAACAAGGGATGGTTAGAAAGCTTAAAAGACAAATGTAGTATTTCGTGGAATTTTTTTTGTGCTTTAGTCTGATCTGGATAGAAAGCATAATTCTAGTATGGGGGTATATGGTTGGTATCTTTTACTGTAAGGCTTTGTGTCATAGAATACCCCTTCTGTATTCAACTACAAGACTGAAGCTTCCATATGAAAAATGTTTGTACGGAGTGAAACAGGAGCCCTAGTTTTAGTCCACTTTGCGCAAAATGTATCTTGAATTGTTTTGGAATACTGGTTGGGTGAGACTTCTGGCATTACACTGTTCCTTTCCACTCTAAAGCAGAAGAATGATTTTTGAAATCTCGATTGCTTGATAGCGCTAGTATAAAATTTAGGAGCTAATTTTGAAACGGACTATCATTTAGCCTGTTTGTAAATACAAAAGCAGTTTGAATAGTGTAATTAGAATTTGTCTGAAATACCACATTACACTGTTGTATTTAATTGTGCCAGGTGTCTGCTTATGTGCAGGGGATTGCAGGTTTATGTGTTTAAATGTAACCTTTAAATTAAATAGATTGAGTCACTAACACTGGTTTGGATCTTGCAGATTTTACATTGGCTGCGACCGATGTCAGAACTGGTATCATGGGCGCTGTGTTGGCATTTTACAAAGTGAGGCAGATCTCATTGATGAATATGTGTGTCCACAATGTCAGTCCACAGAGGATGCCATGACTGTACTCAGTCCACTCACTGATAAAGATTATGAAGGTTTAAGAAGAGTGCTACGTTCTTTACAGGTGAGAATAAGGAGTGCAGCAAAGACGAGTGCTTTTTTACTGTGTAGGACATACCTGGTGAGTCTTGGAGTAGGTTTTGATTTCTCTTCCAGTTGTTTGAGACTTTTTTTAAAAAGGAAATAGCCAAGCTCTTTATTTTTTGTTAGAAATGCCACTTTGTCAGCTGCAGACTTGATTGGCATTATTATGCTGAGGAATCTTTACAGTAATTAGTAATCACAGCTTCTGAGTGAAACTACTCTTCAGTGGAAGGCTTCTAAAGGAAGCAGGTTTACTTAAAATACCAAAAGGCAGAGTGTTAGCCTAACTGAACAGGATATAGAGGATGCAACGTTCTGTTCTCAGATTAATTTGATATGATTTCTGATCTACGCTTCTCTACTTTAATCTCAGAGTTTCTGATTTCAGTAGTGTTCTAACAGAAAGCCGTTACCAGCATGTAAATGATGGCATCCTAATAAAAAGAATTACATCAATCTGCTACATTTCTGGCTTATCAGGCACTCCAAAATATGTCTTTTCTGCTCTAACTGTGAAGAATTTTCAAGAATTTTGATATAACTGTGTGGTAACAGAAATCCTAAAATATTCATATTTTGCATTGTTCTACATTTTACAGACCTGTACAAAACCAAATTAATTTTAGAGTACTTGGAAGTGAAAAGAGTGGCCCATTTCTAGGTGTGAAGTGCCAAGCACTCAGTAAATTCATTACACGCTTTTCTGTGCAGCCTGTCTAGCACAGTATCCTGCTGTGTCTCAATTTCACATTGTTTCCTGTTTTGAGGATCAACTGTTCAGTCCTTGACACTGAAGTTTAAAACTTTAGACGGTCATCAGATGAGAGCTAGTTACCTTTTCACATAACACTGCACTTCTTTCTAAAGTTCAACTCCAGGCTCCAACAGTTAAAAGTATAATGAAATTGTTTAGCTACTAAATAGTGCTGATTTAACTTAAATTTTTTTTTTGTAATTATATCTTGTTTTTCCGACAGGCTCACAAGATGGCATGGCCATTCCTAGAACCAGTAGACCCCAATGATGCACCAGATTATTATGGTGTTATTAAAGAACCAATGGGTAAGTGTTTCTGAGCAATAACATGAGTGTGTGGATTTGGGGTTTTGAATATCAAATTCATGACCTGCTGACCATTTCCATCCAGGGATCTTAAAGATATGTTTTGTAGAATACAGTTTTTGCAGTCAGGGAAACTGAGACAATGTGGTTTCTCCTTGATAGATTTAGAAGTTCATGAGGCTTAATATGTCTACTTCTAGGCTGACTCCTTAACCCTAAACGCTGTCAGTTTAATGTATAAAATGTGAAATACAGTGCAGCAGTAGGACAGAATTCTTGTTGTAAAATTATTTGTTTCAGGAGGAAGATTTTGCTGTGGGTTTTTTTGCTCGTTTTTCTTCATCAGTTCCTCCTACAAAGCGTGGGGTGTGTACTCTAGAGTTTGAGGAGGAAGTGTTGCTAATGCAGTTAAGTCTGACACGCAACTTAAGGTGGAGTTAAAAATTGTCTTCATCTGACTTGCTAGTGTACTAAATTTATATATAAATATTAAATTATATGTAATTTGTCTTTAAATGTACATGAACAAGAATTGTTTCAAATCTTGTGTATGTGGGGGAAAGGGGAAGAGAAGATGCTGTAGCTTTATAGTGTTTTACTCTGATCTTATTAGACCTTACCATGTAGCTAGGATACAGTAGACCAACACTTGACCAACACTTGAATGTGAGATCTCTTAGGAAAATCTACTTCCTGCACAAAATGGTGTTGCTAAATAAATGTTGTTCCTTTCCTTCCAGTTACTGCACCAATTCCTTTTCATATGTCTCAATGAGAGCCAGCATATCATTTGAGCTTTCCCACCTACTCCTTACTGATTCCAGAAATAGGGAAGTTAAATTTAGTATCTTGGCAAAATTGTAGTATTTTGACTGAAAACAATATTTAGTTAGAAATCATGTCCTTTTCTGTGCCAAAGTTTTGGATTGTGCTCTTACAAAAATGGTAAACAACTCCTATTCCGTGGGGTTAAAGTTTATAAAGAAAGCTCAAATAATAATATAATGAAGCATACAATGATTGAATGAATTAAACAAAAGTGCTTTTAGCCCCTTCTGACTTAACTAGCAGGAAAATGCATTTGTAAGTATACAAGTAAATATATGGAAAATACACCAGTTAATCCAGGCCTATCTACCCTTGTTTTCACACATTCTGGCATTACTGGCATGTCAAAGTAAGCACTTTAAGAGCATTTTGCAAGGGCAGGTCATTGTTTTTCCAGCTAAGTGCCACTATACATTTAGTCAGCTATATTTATAATTGGCAGTTCTCATTCCTCTCCCTTTTTAATTTACATTTGCATTAAAATAGAACAATGACTACTTACTTTACCATTCCGGTCTCATTAATGTGTCTAGTCAGTAAGAATGAAAGCACTAGTGTTTTCCATGATCCTGCACTTGAAATCTGTTTCATCTGTACCATGTGGTAATATGCATATGGCCACAAAAAATTAATTCATTCAAAGCAAGTCATGAATTCAAATAAAAAATAATCAGGTTTAGATAGCTGCTACCTGTACACATATGACTCTTGGTCCCAGTGAGGGTGGTAAAAATAAAGTCCAATTAACTGAATCCAGACTGCCTGACTTTTTTTATTCCTTAATTTCTTCAGATAAAGCAAATAGCTTCCTGCAAAAGACCCGAGTTTTCCAAGGTCACTTTCATACTTGCATTTTAATTTAGATGTACACAACATATTCAAGCACAAGTGTTTATTCTGAAGGAGACCTACTGGTGTCACCATGTCACAACCAGCATTCCTGGAAAAGCAACTAACCTAGACAGACTTGCTTTCCTACAGTCTTGACAATGTGAACTTCTGTCGAGGGTGAAAATGTCTCATTTTAATAACCTTTGGTTTCTTTAAAGACCTTGCCACCATGGAAGAAAGAATACTGAAACGTTACTACAAAAAGGTCACGGAGTTTGTGGCGGATATGACCAAAATTTTTGATAACTGTCGTTATTACAATCCAAGTGACTCCCCTTTTTACCAATGTGCAGAAGTTCTTGAATCATTCTTTGTACAGAAACTAAAAGGATTTAAGGCAAGCAGGTAAGCCAAAGTGTTCTTAATCGTAGATGTTCTGTTGTCCCCTAAAATCTCCTTAATGCTTTTGTAAGCTTACATTGCATTCATACAGGGATTTGCCTCTCCATGCACTTTCTTGGAAAACTGCTTTTCTTTTAAAGGCAAAAAAATCTGTTCTACGATAGCCAGCTGTCATTTTCAGTCAAAATTACAGCTTAAATACAATTTTGTGGAGGTTACTTGGTAATGTGTGTTCAAAATGAGTTGTTAGATGCAAATTTGGGCAGTATCATGAATGTAGAAAATTTGAATGACACTTTAAGTCATTGCTGCAGAAAAAGTAATGGTTTCTGATCAGGACAAATAGTGTGTTCTGAGTTCTGATAATGTCCTACTGTGCAGTAAGTAATTTTCAGATGCTAAAAAGAGACAGTCCTTCCATGACACTTATAATCCAGTGAAAGAAATTAAAATACTTTTAGTTTTTACTGCTTCTCTCATCTTTCTATAATTTACCATATTTGAAACAGATAATAAGTAAGGTTTCAAGTAGGATATGCAAAACTAAAGACCATCCAAAATTTACTATTTAAAATTTAAAACTTTTTAAAATGTTTTTCTGTAGAAGGATCAATGTAGAGTATTTCCCTAACATAGACATTTCTGAAAAAAAAAAAAAAAGCAACTCTACTACCCATTTTTCTATTGCTTGCTATTCTGTCTAGTAGCACATACATGGGAGTTCTATGGCACTAGACAAATTATAACGTGGTATTTAGTACAGCTGTTCCTTAAACCAGCTTACTCAAAACGCTGACGGAGTATACAGATTCCTCCTCTATCACTGCTGTGTTCCAGCATAAGCCAACTGGAACCAAGTTACAAATGTTGGCTGCCTTTCAGCATTACTCAGAAATTGTATATGTGTAGTAGTTAACTTTGTCTGTCCAACTGTAACAGTCAAAACTGTAACAGACTGCTAGTCTAAAATTAACGCAGGATTATATCCATTTGTAATTACGTAAATTGAAAGCTTTACTTTATATCCATTGTTGTGGAAGCTATCTTAATTTTTTGTATGCAACAAGAGTAGGATTGATAAGAAGCGATGAGATCAAATTAATTATCCAGCATTTTTCTTTCCAATTCAGTACTGTATTAATGATTTTTATCCAGTAGTTTTCAACTCATGTTTCTGTCATCTTGCTTTAGCTGGTTATCCAGCATTCACTGCTTGCACACTAATTTCATTGCTGCATCTTATTTGTTATTGTTTTTCATTTATACCATCCATGTTCTTTCTTTTCTTGCAGATTGTGATATCTTTAGTCTGAACTTTTTAACTGGAATCAGAACTGGATGTTGGGGTCACTTTCTTTTATTGTACAATTCGATGACATTAAACTGCCCTTAAAATCCAGATCACTTGTCTAAAAAGTAAATGTTGGGGTTTTGTGACCAGCAGTCATACTGGTGCACATGACTGTATTAACAAAAAAAAAAAATTGTCCCATTCCTCAAATACTGTATTGAGAAAAATGAAAAATTCATCGTGGAAACCATGTATTTTATTGTTTTATTTCAGTCACTAATAAAACTGTGAATGTCAAAGAGGAGTTTTGCTGAACTCTGATTAGCAAAAATGTGATTTAAACATGCCTGTTCAGTTTTTTTCTGTTAAGTTAATCCAAAGACTTCTTGAATAAATTTAAGCAAAGTACACCTTATTATAAATATTCACAATTTAAAATGTCTTTTTGCTTTCCTTTTGATGGACTACTATTATGTAAATATGAGAGTAAGACTGATTTCAGGCATTTTGGAATATTCCAGTGACACACTGCATTTTACAAGTACTGAAATATTTGTATACTATAGGAGCAAATGTGCTTAAAATTCAGAGACAATTATTTCAAGTGTTCTTTTATCTGAAGGGGGGGGAAAAAAAAAATAATGGAAGCAACATGGTGGTAATTCCCTCATTGTGATTTACCCTTGGCAACACCTTGCAGCAACTGTGTTCTCCAAGATGAAGGGTGCTTAATTCTTCACTTTCTTCTGTATTCTGCAGGTCCCATAACAACAAACTGCAGTCTACAGCTTCTTAGAGTTCAGCGTGTTAACCTAACACACGAGCAAGAATCTGGTTGTCTGAAAATTTTTAATTAAGAAGCCAGATGTTTTTAGTCAGGTTATCCTGACAAGACTTGATGTAAACTGCGTTTTTATTGGTCACAACAGTCAAATTATATTCTTGGCTTATTTTGTCCAAAGGACAAAGAAATAAAAATCAGCAGCACCACTTTCTTGTCAAGATCAAATTGTTGTACTATTGTGGCAGAAGCAGGAAAACTTTGTTTTGTTGAAGGAGAGAGAGAAAGAGAGCAAGAAAAAAGATACAGTAAATGGGGTCACGTTTAACTCCATGGAAATGCCACGTCTGTTCTTCAGTGAAGAAGCTGGTTTAAAGTCCACACAGAAAACTTTGACTGTATTTATTTATTGTTGCAAAAAAGACGCTTTTTTATTGCTGCCCTCATTTGTCAGCTAATTATTTTTTCTTATAAAATCCAGCCCCGGTTACATGTAATCCATTCTGTATCTTAACATGATTCCTGTAGGTAAAAGTACAAGAAGACCTCTAGATGTCTTTTCTTTCTATGAAAGGAGCTGCTATGTACACATGTGCACACACACAGAACTGGGAATCAACAATGAGTTTATCATTCATGGTAGATAAAACAATTAAGCTTGCATAAAAGTTGGGCTAAGTGGTCATGGACTACAGACTCTGTTGCCTTGAGTATAACAGTACAATTTGTCATTTACTCTGCACCAGACTGAAATGAGTAAAATCTATTTGAAGCTATCTTGTTTGTAAACATTTGTCAGATTCTAATTTTTTTCTTTTGTATTAAAATTCAAAATATGGATGTATATGAAACAAAATAAATGGAGATAATTGTTCTCCCCACAGATGTAGGTGTCTTTGAGTGTGCGCTAATATGTCTGTAACACTTTGGGGATCTGTTCAGATTATTTCAATTAATAGGGGAGGGAAGTGGCCAGGGAGTTGGACTTTATTTTGCTCCAAAGGTAGCGTTTACTGCGTTTCATTCTTACGCAGCTGTTACGCCTTTATAAAATTTCTACAGTGGTGCCAAAATTACTGTAACAGATAACGTGGTAGGAAGTATTTTGTGAAATGTCACTGCCCACTGCTGAATTAAGTGATATTTTGCCAAGTGCTCTAGGAATGTAAAGTACCGAGTGTCAGGATATCTCTGAGGGGCGTTCTGGGCTGTGGCACTGTTTCCTGTGTGAGGAGCACTGCTGTGAGAGGGATGAAGTCACAAGAAGATGGAAATTGCAGATGACATTGCTGTTTCTTTCTGATCCGTCGCTTTTTCACATTGCGTGTATAAATGACTTGCTCATACGACCTGTCTGTAGTTCATCAGCCATGGTTTGTACGCGGCTCTTCAACCCTTTGACTAGCTTTTGCACTAATTCACCGTTAACTTCTGTTCTGCAGTGATCTGGGATTTACCTGATTTATGGATAAGCTCCTTTTGGGTTTAACCTCACACCTTGCTATGCAAGAACCTCTTCTGTTATTTTTCTTAAAAAGACGTTGCTACTGACCACTCTTTCTTACACTTACAGGCTCAGGTGTACAGGTTCTTCTGGGGTAATTTTATCTAATAAAAACCCGTGTTTTTTTGTACATACAAATGTTGTCATTTAACCTATATGTGAAAATTAAAAATAATTGTTCAATGTGAAAACAATAATCCATTTATGCTTCTTTAACTTCAAGAAGAGTAGTTGCGTTTAGGTTATGTTGTCCTTTGACGTTTAAAAAAATGCTGCATATTGTATGCATTGTGTTTTTAATGCAACAAGGAAAAAAATCTCAACTTTTAACAGCATTTGAACATACCCTGCATCTCATCGACACGGTATTTCTGTACTATTTATTCATATATAAATATATATGACATGATTTAAAACTTTCCTACCTGTAGGCAATAGATTGCTATGTTTTTAACAGATTGTGGCAAACTGAAGAGTACTTTTTTGTACCTTATAGGACACATCATCCTAGACAAATAAAGTAATGTGTTTGACATTGATTTGGTGGCGTTTCTAATGAAACATTTGATAATGTTATTGTATCTAGGTCTTGGCTTTGCCAGATTATATATAACTGCCAGTGAGCCAGGCTGATTAGGGAAATAATCCATACAGACAATTTAATTGTGCTGAGAGCCATTTGTTAGTGTTTCCAGTTGCCATTGAGCACTTTGAGGCATTTTCTTGATTTTTTTTTTTTTTTATTAGTGGTGATCTTTTATAGTTAAATGGTGTTACTGAAAGTCCATCACTTGTAATTCATATGCACTTTTCTTAAGAGCATGGTAAGTTCCCAAGATTTGTGATTGCTGTTCAGTTATCCTTCTCTTTGTGTTTTCGTAAATTATTGCAGCGTTTGGGTCAAAATGGCTATATATTGTAACACAGATTTTGATGATGTGAGCTGTATCAGCTTGATTCTCTTTTTTTGTCTGCTCAAAGAAATTTGAAGCAATTATCCTTGGTCTAGATTTAGTTTGTGCAAAAGTTAATGGGGATTTAAAGTGAAATAAGAAGTTGGGCTTACCCAAAAGCTTTGAGTAAACCCCTGGAGAGACAGGAAGACAATATTCCTGTACAAGCTGGATTTCTGTCTGTTTGCTGTAGAATTTTCATGCTTACCCTGCTGGGGAAAAAACAATTTATTGTAAGGTATCAAAATCACCATAGCAGCTATTGCATGCAAGTGCCATCTTCTTTTCAGTGTGATTAGTGAGGTTTTTGCAATAGCGACTGCAACACTCTGGAAATCGACTTGATTTGGTAATTTTTTTTTTTCTTCAGTATGTTAGTGTGTTGTAAGACTGGTAAAAAGTCGTTTTGCTCCTGCTCCAACTGTATTTCACAGGGGCTGTCAAATACAGTGGCTTGTTGCTCAGCTGTTGTAACATTTTAAGGAGTGAGCTTCCATCCAAGCCACGAAGGAAGGTAAGAGCCTTTGTAGCACAAAAAGAGAACACAAATTGCTCTTCAGGCTCGCTCCTAGAGCTATAGCGGTACCGAGAGAGGGGTGCAGACATTGTGTCAGTTACTGGGATTTTACGTGGGCTTTGGACGTCATTAACGCTGGTGTACTATTATTTATCTCTTCCGAGAGACAATCAAAATGAGATATAGCCATGGATGTTATTTTTGTACCCACGCTTTGCCTGTTTTAGATTACAATAATGTCTTGGGGATGGGGAAGGGTGTTTAATTGCTGTTCTGGGCAAGTGGATGACTGTAGGACTTGCTGGTTAGTCCCTGACTTCAGTTGAAAATAGAAACGAAGAAACTTGAGATGCACATGTAACCCTTCCTCCTTCCTTCTCCTGTCCCTCCCAGTCCACTCCAGCACTTTGATTCGTTGCCAGGAAAGGTCATTCTGCCAAATCAGAAGCCCCCTCAGAAGTGTCTCAGGAAAATTCCATCTATATATGCAGGGCTCCATGCAAAGTCTTTCACGTGACAAAAGTGAGACTGTATTTTTTAGATAGACACAAATTACAAGTAAATTTCTGTCCTATAGTAACAGCCTTTTGCATCTTAAAATGTATGATGTTTGCTCTTAGTATTTGGCTCCTAGGCCATATGAAGGAATAGTTCATACAGGGTAACTTACCGCCCATCCACTACTCGGTAGCATTTCAGTGACACCAAATCAAGCTGCAGATGTGTATGACAGGTAGAACTGCGTTAGAACTACCTCTGTGTCAAAACAGAAAATGTTAAGAGAAGCCACTGCTTCCTGGTCCAGGTCACATCATGTGTATCACAATATATATATATTTATTTTTTTAAGCTAGACTGCATTTTTCCCTTTTTAATATAAATATATATCTTTAAATCCCCAGCTGACTTGTTAAACAAGGAGATGTCTTTGTTTAATATCATTACATAAGCCTTCCGGATCTTCCAGTACCCAGGAGACAGTGAACCCCGAACTCCATGAATGTTTTAAAGACCTATGATTTGTGAGTACTGACACAGCATAGCAAACAAAAAGATTCCCCTTGCAGCAGCTTCATAGGTTCTTATATCCCACCACGTTAAAGGTACTAAAAGATTCTTTGATTCAAAAATTAACTTTACTGATGTGCAGGTACAAACTTGGTAATATTTCTCATGGAAAGATGACAGTACAGTTCTCAGACTGAACTTTAAGGAACTGACAGTGTAAGCAGGCATACAAAAAGTGCCTGCAATTGCTTGCTTATTTTCCATTCCTTGGCATGAACTTCCATCGTTATTTGTAAGTCTAATTGGGCATTTGTGTTGTGCAGTTACTTGGTTTGCTTTCAGTTAGTGTATTCATATATTCAAATAATTACATAGGAACTTTGTATGCCTTGAAAATCCAGCTCTGTTTGAAGAATGACGTAATTTTTAAAAGTAGCATGGACATGTTTGAGGATACCAAAACAATACAAAGGATACTTAGTTTTGTTGGTTTCTTTTGAATCAAGTGCATGTAATACTTGAGGCAGAGTTGTGTGAAAACACAACGGACACCCTCTGTAGATAAAGCTGTGGTATCATCTAACATTTGTTCAAGGTTAAGGGTTTCAAAAGGGTTTGAGAGCACTGTTACTTTTCGTGTACCTAGAACAATGCCTCCGGAGTTTTACTTTACAATTAGATTATTAGGAGTGCGTGACAGCAGGGGAAGCAATAATACCCTGTGGCTCTGGAAACAGCTGGAGCAACTTCATGATCAGTTAATGTTCCCTAGACTGACTTTTGTGTTAAGCTTCACAATATATGGGTACCGAGGCCAAGACATTCAGTCAGCATTCGCTAAGCACAAAGGCAAGTGTCCTGTCACAACCAGTTTCAGACATGAGAAGAATTACCTCCCACTGTTGCTAAACCGTGGCCAGGTTTATTCTGGTAGGTGAATTCTGCTGCTGCCCGTGTCCTAGATGGAGGCTACCGGAGCCTTATCTACATTTAGTGTGAGCTGCCTGCACCTTGCGATTCCTCTTCCTGTTGAATCTCTTCACGTAGCTGCTGCTGCTCCGAAGCAAACCGTCCCCTGGCCTCAGGCGCCCTCGCAGGAACTGCAGCAGGTTGGCAGGGATCTGCCGTCTCTTGTGGTAGATCCGACCCATCACGATGTATCTGCTGCCTGCAAAATAAATGAGATTTCTGTGCCGTGAAGAAAGCACAGATTCGTTCCCTGCGCTTGCTCTAAGGGCAGCAGATTTATGAATTGCACCCTGCAGAAATACATCCTGAATGTGTGGCTTAGTGCAGCGGGACCCGTGGGCTGTGCCTCCATGGAAATAACAATTTACTGTGTTGTATTGCAATTAGAAGCTTTTTAGGGGAAACACTGGTATTCAATAAACTTGCATTTAGAAGGAAAACCAGACTACTTATAAAGATACCATCTTAAGCTCCTGTGTATATATATATTTTTTTTTCTTTTTGGCAAACCTAAAAACTCTTGCAATCATTTGGGAACTGGATAAAGTTAAGAAAGGACTATGCTGCTACGTGACTTCTTCCCAGTTGGTTTTCTTCTGGAAATCGAGAGCAACTGGGGGGCAAAGCCCTCCAGCTTAAGAGTAAACAGATTTTTTTCAAAATATTACAACAACCCAGGATAAGCCTATTAAACTATGGCACACTAAAATTGCACTGCATGCAGGAGGAAGAGTGGAATGGATTTAGCTGGAATTATTTACCCAGTTTAAAGTCTGGACACGGTTTACTGCAGTTTAAAGTATCCACAACTAGAATGTGAACTCGAAAGAAGAAGCCATCAGGAGTAATATAGAGGCGACTCATCTTGTATAATCCATCGCTGTTTACCAAAAGCGTAATCAAGTGGACTCCATTCCCCAGTCTTTCCATGTTATAAACAATTCCGTTCAGTGCTGGTTTAAGGGAGGGGAGGGAGGAAAAAAAGCAAGCATTGAATTACATATCTTGGTGGCAACTCGGGGTACGTGTGAAGACATTTAAAATGCTGTAAAGCGTCAGCAGAAATTCTTTGGCTCAGTAGTGGGCAGTCCTGGAAGTAGGATTTGCTTCAAATAATCACATCGGATGAGGTCATCACCTTTATTTTTTGCTAAGTTACTAACCTTCTTATGCTTTACAGGTCTGATGTTCCCTTAGTGAAGTTTATAAAATGATTCAAAAGAAAGTCATGATTCCAGTACTGTTTTCCATCCTGATATATAAAAAGTGGTCATATTTCCCTAACCAAGTAAAATTTTCAAATTTAAAACTTCACAATGAGGTCCAAAGCAAACCTGCTAACGAAACGCTTCAGCTTTTGAAAGGAAAGGCCCTTGTCATACCAAGAGGGAAGGGCACCAAGCAGGCGATGTTGTACGCTCAGACAGTCGCTTCGTGCTGTCCACCCAACTCCTGGTTTTGACAAGTGCAGAGCTGACTGCGGAATCAGAAAACACCAAATGTGTTAGGGGCAGGTAAGGCAAAGAGGATGCAGTCATTTATTCTTCAGTCTGCACTGTAAATGTAGAGAAACAAACAGCACTGATCACTGAAATGGAACCTTGGCTGAATTGTTGCTCAGACTGTCTTTTTCCTACTTGTCTTTTTCAATGTAAGAGATGAATGAGAGTGGTGTTTGTTAAAGGCTGAAATACACAGAGGTCGTGTTGCTGTAAGGCCTACGTTTGGCAGGAATGCATGAGAGTGGTAAAAAATAAAGAATATAACATTTGTAGAAAGGACTTCCTGACTTCCCCATTTAGAGAAAACAGATGTCTCGTAACGTGTTTATATTCTACAAATGGAAACATCTGTTACCACTAGGCATGTATTTTGCTTATCTCTTAAAATACTGTGAGAAAAAGTTGGTATCTATTTCACAACTTCATAAGCACAAGGCAAGATTTCAGTCAGAAAATGCTTGCTCTTAAATGGTACAAGGCTTTTCAGACATCTTTAGCTACTTCAGCTTGGACACAAGGACTGAAGACATTGAGTCTTAAGGAATTTCAAGGAAAATCCTCTACACAGGGAGGATCTAAGTTTTATTTTTGCTTGGTTCTCCATTTTATTTTAAACTTTGGCCCCCAAAATCATAAACCTGCTTTAAATAGTAAGAGGTAAGTAACGCAGCTACAATGTTTAATCTTAAAGTATCTGAAACAATTGGTCTTTTCAGTTCTGTTGACCAGCAGCAAGAACACTGTTTTCCGCCCAGGAGTGGAAAGTGGAGGAAACAGAAAAAAGAGCAATAGTAGCCCAAGGTAGGGAAAGGGTTGTGTAAGACTTGGTACTGTTCGTTGTAGTACATTTATAAAGCTGTGATGGGTCCCTTTAGTGTACTTGGTAATTATTTAACATAATGAAACAGTATCTTAAAAGCAGAAATGTCAGTAATAGATGAACAAAGGGGGCCTGCTCACGGAGGACACGACTTACCAAATTCACTGGAGCAGTAGGCCTCTGCTTCGTCTCTCTCCTTCCTGCACTCGCTCAGACATGCCTTCTCCTTATCCCCATCTAGAACAGGCACACAGACTGAGGGACAGCAAGGGGCCCTTGGCGGGTATTTCAGCCAAATGAGGCCACCCGATCTTTGGAAAGTTCACGCTCTCCCTCGCCAGAGCAATCTCTCCCCTTACCTCTCTTCAGCACGCTGAAGTGGTACAGCAGGCTGGGCGACTGGCGGTTGGTGACCCAGGAGGGTTTGGTGATCTTTTTGAGGAGGTCGGTATGTTTATAGGGGATTATCTTGCCTGGTCGGTTGGAGTGATCCAGCGTGTTAGGATCATCTGACTCCACTGCTCCGGAGTCTGGAAAAGGATGAGTCTCCACTAAGGGGGTCATCTTCTGATAGGAAGAGGCTGCGTGGTGGAGGTGAGCCGACACGCTGTTGGCGGCCTCGGCCAGCCGCCTGTCCGCCGGCTTCCTGTTTGCGTGGTTCAAGTCAGAGGAGGCAGGAGAAGGCTCCTCTATCAGGCTCTCCGGAGGCAGGGCTCCTCCATACTGTAAGAGGTGTTTCCTCAGCCCTGTGCTGTTTTCCAGAGAAGGTTTGGTGTGTTTCTTTCTGTCTGATGAGAAGGAGATGATTTGGGGAGGTGGTGGCCGCTGCAGGCTGGCGGGAGGCAGAAGCCAGCGCTCTGTGCCGTTCTCTCCGGCGCTGCTGGTGCCCCAGGCTGGCACTTTGCCTTGGCCAGGTGCAGCATCTTTGCTAAGAGTCTGACTGGGCTTCTCGGCATAGGGCAGGGATCCTACAAATAAAAAAAAAAAAGAGAGAGCAAATTAGCATTTCAATTTTTTTTAGCCCATGTGCTTCTGAATGGGAAGTGCCTGGCTCTAGCCTGTGAGTGAGGCCTTCAAGGGTAAGACAATAAAACTGATCAGGAGTTCAATGGATGAAATATAGCAGAGCCCCTCATTCTGCTGTACTCAGACATGGAAGACCCAGTACAGAGAATGCAGCTGTGTGAGCAAAACACAGGAGATTTGCATTTTTACTTTATTATTGTTGCAAATTAAAAACACGACTTATAAACAAACCCTTTTCTCAAAAGCCTAAATCTCCAGGGAGCATTGGAGGAAACAAGGTTCACATTGCCATTTGGGATGCTTGTTTAAAAGACCATGACAACAGAACTATTTGGTTTTCCCATCCATGGGATGCCTTATTGACAATGGCATCTGGACTCTTCAGAGATTTTGGGCTTTGAACACTACTGAAAAGATCTTTATCTACAGTTTTGGGTCTCTGACTTTTGCACTGGAGTTGTATAGTAGTAGTACTATAGTCTGGTAGCTAGGCTATTGCTGCTGAGTAACAATTATTTCCAGGCTTTTCTTAAGTTGAGAGGACAAGGGTTGAGAAAGACAGGAAGTGTCTGGGACTCTAGTGAAAAACTGAAAGGCTTAATGACATTGATCACAAAGCTGGACAGTCACCAGGCCTTCATTTATACCTTCACCTTGATCACTTGGACCTCAAAAAGCAAAATGACCTTCTGTTGAGCCTGGGAAGAGAGAAATTTCCTCCTGCAGTTCATTTTTCTTTTACTTTAGTCCTTTACTGCATGCCTTTAGTTAGCCAGAAGAGTTTTAAAACAGTTCACCCACACACAGCCGCTGTCTGGGTGTTCACTGTCTGTGGTTAGCATCGTGTAGGAGGCTGATCCTAACTCCCTATGTGAAAAGAGATACTTGACATACACAGATGAACAACGTCCTGGTTTATCTTCTATAACTGACTCAACTGCTGACCTTGCCACTTCTCCCCCTTCGCTCTCACCAGCTGCTGTCATGGGAAAGATTCCCTGATATTTGGGCTGGCCACACGTAAAGTCAAAAGAATGTCCATGAAGAAAGGGGTGGACGAAGTCCAAGCTAAAGAAAGCGATAGGCAAGGGTGTTTTGGAGATGGTTCAATATGAAGCTGTGAATTCAACAGGTGTTTTGGAGTTGGCTTTATAAGTACACTATTCTACCAGTTTATCATGCCTTCTCAGCCATGGATTGTAACAAGAAATAGTTCATTTTTCTCTACTTAATCTGTTTAGGAACTTGAGGTCTGTTCCCCTAGATCAGTATATTCTTGTCTAGCTCAGGCAACTTAAGAAATATAACTACAACATAACCAGCTCCTAGACTTCTCCTTCCCCATGGATTAGATGTATATCTTATTTCTGTACCATCAATGAGGTACTAAAAATAAAATAAAAAAAAAACAAAAAAAAACTGAGACAGCTTGCTGCAGGCACACATGTTGAAATAAATTAGAAATCTGGACTTTACAGGTGAAGGGAAAGAGATTAAAAGGGAAAGGTCCCATAGAAATAAATCCTGGGTGCAGAAGCAAGTCAAACTTCAATTGCTGAAGGATGGCTAGAAGGATGGCTAGCAGGATTCATGGCACCAGCTCGCTGCCTGCTTTTGGCAGGTGCTCTTAGTTCTTACAAATGCTGACAAACCAAATATTGCAATGTACATTCCCATCCCATAAACATGTTTAAATGTTTCTGTCTTGAACCCTTATGTGATTACTGCTACCGCTTTCTGAAAAGACTACAGCCCGAGAGCGCTGCTCAGGCAAGAATTTGTAGTAATGTGTTTAACCTCCCCTGACACCAAAGGCAAATATGCCCCAGCCCCACTTAACAGACTTACCGGCCACTGAGCTGGAAGATGATCTAATGACAAAGCAGAGGAGCCAGAACACTTTGGTTGTCATTTTGAAGTAAAGTTTTTCCAGGCTCAAAATGAACTGGAGTCTTTTATGCCCTTCCCCCCGATTCATGCTAATGAGAGGCAGCCTTAGGGGAAACAGGAATCACTCCCTGGACAACCCACTGGAGCAAGACCAAGCTGCTGCTGGCCGCCCCGCTAGCCTCCCACTAGCCCTGCCCGCACAGACACCCCCCTCCTCATACACACACCAGTCCGTACTGCCTGCGCTCGCCCGCTGCTTCTGTCAACAGCATACAGATAGGTGATTTTAGCAACAAGATTTTTATATTAGGGGAGAGTCTTGCTTCCTATGGTGTTTTTTAGAGAAAACCATACAGAACAAATATGGTTTCACACATTTGGATAATTGGACATGAACAATTATATATAAAGTGCGATTGGCAGCTGCTGGAACATGCGTCACCTCTGCAACTCAGCTTCTGCAAAGGATGCGTGTTACAATGAAACATATTTAGGCATTTTGGCCACCTCCAGTTATGCAGCTGGTAATCTTCTCTTTTAGTTTAAGGTACCCTTTCCAGTCATTCTTTTCAGACTGAAAAATGTAGTAGTTACTGTCCAGTCCGAGGGACAGCTCTGCTGACCCCAGATAAAGTTTTATCTGTAAAGCGGTATTTGCTAAAATTAAGAACTCTGCAAATTTTCACACACCAAGCCAACTCTGATTTGGATTACTGAAATAAGAAGGCTTATTCCTAGGCTCACAACTGAAATGGGTGACCTTATTGCTAGACAAGATTTCCATTGTGACAGTTTATCTCACTAGGTGCTACTGGATGTCGTGAAAGTTAGTGAACTGGTTCACACTTTTAAGGTGCAACTAGCAACTTAAAAACCCCATAAATGCCCTATATCCCAGCTCCTGAAACACACCCCCCCCAACAGATCTGCTCATCAGTAATGCCTGTGCCATGCAGTCCAGCTTAAACACTGGTTTGTACTGCCTTAATTAAGCAGTTTAATACAATTCTTGAAAGTACAGGGCTTTATCTCACACAGCTGTGGGTGAAGATTCAGAAAATGAGCCAGATTACTGTGAAATTTCAACATATCTGTTAGTGTGTTATGTTACTACTGCAGCATTTAATCCTTATTATCCTTTGTTATTTTAAACAATTTAAGATAGCTAGTACGGAAATAGGAATTTAAACTAAGGATGGGGCAGAGGTGAGGTCTTATGTCCTTTATGTACCTCAGCTGCTGCTCAACCAGCACACGTACCTGCAGCGAGCGAGAGAAGTCACGAGTGTGACATGAGGGTTGTGCTGAGGATGGATGGATGGATGGATGGATGGATGGATGGATGGATGGATGGATGGATGGACAGATGGATGGATGCATGGACAGAAGGGTGGGTGGATGGATGGACGGATGGATGGATGGATGGATGGATGGATGGAGGGACAGAGGGATGGACGGATGGACGGATGGATGGACAGACAGACACATGAGTGTCCTGCAGACCTTCTCTGCTGCAAGGAGTTTGCTGTTTAAGTTGGCTGGTAGTGTAACTCAACCTGTATTAATGAGTATTAATGAGTTTCTCCAGACTCCGCTTGCACAGGAGGTTGATTAAAAGGACAGGAGCAGCGTTTGGAGTGTTTCTGCCGTTCAGGAAGCTACAGGTATGGCACCAGCAGCGGGGAGGAGGAAGGTTTTCCGAGCAGGACTCCCTGGTCTGAGGAAAGCGGGGACCGAGAGCGCGGTGCCCGCGTCCCCCTCGAGAGGCGGCGGCCGGCTGTGCTGTGCTGGCAGGAGCAGGGGCTGCGCAGGCTCCCGCCCGGGCTCACCA